GATCGAGGGGAGTCGGCAGCATTGGCCTTTCACCGGCTTTGATCCTCAGCTCATACTCATAGACGTGTCTCCAGATCCTTTCCACATCATCCCAGCATGTAACTGTGACATAGTCAATTGGATAATTCAAAGACAGGACCCCTCTTTAGGACTGAGCTTCCCCTCTAACGTAACAACTCCCAGAATTGTAGCGTTGGCTTCCGAGCAACCAGCGATCGCTGTAAAACCAGACCCTGGGCCACTGTCCCCTGCTATACCCGCTGTGAGTAACCCAGACCCATTGCCAAAGGTTACAGCGGCGACACCGAAAACGCTGGGGTCAAACATTTGTCGCAGAGTTGGTAGCTCCCCGGCACTGTTTGCCTGTTCCCCCTTGACAGGCCGGTCACCATCACTAGGGGAGGCTTCTCAGGGATGTACAGCTTGTGATTTCCAATGTGTTTGCCCCCATAACGGCCAGTGACACAATAACACACTTCCCCAGCCCGTTACCTGATCCCAGACACTTCCCTGGATATGGCCAGTGTAGCTTTACCATGGCTCCAGCCAGAGGACCATCAATTCAGTGAGTCTGACCCACAGCTCATGGACCATTTAACGAGCCTGAGACCATTTTTTTTCTCAGAATAGAAAAGCACGTATTGCAAAATACATGTATGGCAGTAATCAAGTTTTTCACAGGTGCCTCTGGCTTAGCTAAGACTCTACAAGTAGTTCCAAGAGTTGGTGAAGATCAGGACAATTTTGCTGCCTCCTAAGTATTAAATGAATTACCAGTTTGCTTTTCTGAATAACGTCTGCACTGGAAGCAGATCTTTTTCAATGGAATCCTTTCTGATCTGTAATAGCAAACTCCTAAAAATGTTTAAAATAGAGCTATGTTTGGCACTCTTGAGTATTTTTCCTTGTCCTTGTGACTTAATTTAAAGACTATATTTTGGTAAAACCACAAAGGTGAAACAATAATTTCTGCCTCTTGCTGGTTTAAAAAACCCCAGTAGCTTTAAACAATGCTTATAATACCTTCTAGTGCAAAGAAATTCCTTCCCCTAATGAGTCTATATCCTAGGTTGCTGACAGGCTGACCTGCCTGCAAATAAACAGACATGCAGATGTCTTCCTTCCACGCTTCCCCTTTCCATTCAGCATTTTGCTGAGAAGAACAAGCTCTTTTTGGAAAGCTTGTTCAAAAGGATTAAAACTATCCTAGATCTTCACAACTGATCCCCATTTCACATCTAATTGTTGTTGGTTTTGTTTTTAAATTTTGCTTCAAGAGAAGATTTCCTAAAGAAGGAAATTTCTATGGCTTTGAATCCAATCAGATCTGACAATTCAAATCTGTTTACAGAGAAAATTTCCTTTAAAAAAAAAAAAGAAAAAAAAGAGTAAATCACTATATAACTTCAGTTTGAATCCTTGGCTGCCAGAGTTTAATTGCTTCTCCTTGTGGCTCTAAATCCAGGGCAGCTTCAAAGCAAGAGTGGCTTCTATTAAATTTAATTACTTTTTCCTGCAGCTTGCATGGCAAAGGTGCCAGCTACTAAACGAAGGTGGTTATGAATCAGAGGCAGATTCCAAACAAAGATATATATTAAAGAGAGATTTTAAGTGTAAGCAAATAACCTTCTTATACAGAGACGTTTATACCCCAGATAAACCATGAAAAAAAGCACCATCTAACAGGAGATCAGCTCTGTGTATGTTATTTCCATTCTGCTTAGATTCCAGACATGTTTGTGTTAAATGCCACTCTATCCTTTTCAGCGATTTCTCTAATCCTCTTAATATTTGTGTACATATATTTCAGTGTGTGGCACACTTGTTTCCATGCATGCTTCTATATTAGTGTCAACAGGTGTCCTAATCATTTAAGAGGTTGTTATATGCATCACACTAGAAGCCCAATTTAATCCCGCGTTGGTCTGCATGCAGCTTGCGTGAAGCACTCCATTTTGAACGTGAAGTTGAGTATTAAAACAAGGGAATATCGACTGTGATTATCAAACGGCAGTTGAACGTAGACGCAGGAACACTCATCTGTTCCCTCATATTGGTTCTGTCATAAATCACCTTAAAAAGGGTGCGTGTGAATTAACTTTGTTACTATAGGGTTTGGAATCAGTGAAATTACTGTTTGTGTTTAGCTCAAGTACTGTAAAACCAAGCTCATAGAAGAGACAATAGGAGACCTCAAAAATTTCCTGTGCTCACCTGGCAGAATAGCTTATGCTGATACAAGATCTCATTCAGGAATGGAAAGCGCTCATTCTCTGAGTGCTGGTCTGTCTGCGGCCTTTGGCGTGTGCCCGGGGCTGCCAGCTGTGGAGAGACACACGAGGAACTGCACCGAGACAAGCAAATCCATTCCACACGAGCTGCTATCTTCTCGACTAGATGGTGTCCACCGTTTGTCACCTCTTAACGGGATGGAATATGAACTCGAACCTGAGAGGCACGTTGGAAACGCAGTAATGAGATTCCCACAACACACCAAACGTAAATGAGCTCTGTCCCACAGACGTTGTGTTGTGAAAATTCACAGATAGTTAAACGTGTTTGTTTATAGGCCAGTCTCGCTTTCTGCCAGAGCTGAGCACACATTTTCACTTACCGGCTCACGCACCTCTTTTTTGCTTTATTGACCGTGTCGCCTGCACAGAGCGATCCCCCTGGCAAGCGAGGGCTTGTCCTTTCTCCATAGCCGGCTTCTGTCTGAACGCTTCTGGAGACAAGCACTCAGGGCAGATTCTGAGTGAATCAGGCCAGGCTGGAAAGCACCAAGAAAAGAGTGATGTGTTTACCTGGGGTAAAACCAGTGGGAAAAGGATCAGCCAACCCTTAATCTGTATGCCCACGTAAACCCCAAGGGCCTGACTAACGTGCAGCAGGGATAAATGTCTTTCCACACCTACAAAGTGTTACCAAAAAGAGAGACAAGTAGGACCAGAGACTGAGGGAGAGACGTTTCTCTTCATGCCTTTCTACACCAGATTGTTTTGATATCTTCCCTGTTCTTGTCATCCTCAGCTGGCTCTTTCCTGGGTGTAAGTTCATTCCGAGCAGGTGATGTGATTATAGTGCATTGAACACAGATGAAACCCCAGAAACAATAACACTTCATCAGAGAATCCCTTAACGAAATCCACAGACTTATGATTTTTTCTGTTTCACAGAAAAAGGGACAATTGCAAGGAACTCGTTCATTCCCCAAACTCATTCCACTCTGAGGCTTTTTCCCAGTTTCCTACGGGCAACGGATTTTTCTGGCTAACACAATTATTGGGAAATCTCAGACATACGCTCCAAGGGAGACCTGCCTTATCCTCCATAAACTTGAGAGGGACCTGATGAATTCACATTAGTTTATCCATAAAATAACTTAGCTTTCTTAGTCAAGATATATCCACCACCTTATTGCAGCACCTTTGTTTACAACTCCCCCTAAAATGCTGGTTTATCTTCTTGGCTTATAGTTTCCTCATTGCCTTCTCTGGATGGGGAGGACAGATGTTGGGCTGTTGGCCAAGAGAGAGCTCTGTGACAGTGGCACTGCCAACAGGATAACCAATGCAGCTTTCCAAATGGATTTTAAGCTGGAACTTCTGATTGCTGCAAAGCAATGCGTTAAACATATCAAAAAGGTGAAAATAAGAAAAAACAGGAGGCTGGCATGTGATGGACATGAGTGTCAAGGCAGAAGTATACCGCCTTTTTACGTACAGTAGTAATTTAGCAATTTCTGGGATACCCTAGGAACAAACCAAAGGATTTATTAAAGTGCTAAAGCTTAAGTGTTAGAAGTCTGTGCTTTTACAGCTGAAAGATCACAGTTATAGAACCATCTCCCTGGAGCATGCATGTGATTTGTGTAACAAATAGGAGTGCATTTATGGAGTGAATCCAAATGCAT